GGCATAATTTCATCAAAATTAAATATTATTCATCTTCCTTGTGGCAGACTTTCATCATAGACATTCGTCTAATTTAAAACAGAGAACTAGCAACCGCTATTTTAGTGTTAGCAGGCTGGAAACATGTGGGCTGGAAGGATGGGGAAAGGAACTAAATAAAAGAGCAGGCGCCTCAGTAGTAAGTGAAGCGCAAGCTGCATCTAAATAGAGATATTTCATATTCCTTGAAACTGAAAAACTCTCGGGCATGCACCCACGCTGCTCGTGCGATCATCCGTTTTTGCATAGCCCATCTCGCAGGTAGATCGCCTGTATTCGATTTTCTTGACTTCCGAGGTTGCTGAGCTGAACTTGGGTGACAAAAAATCCGGACATATAGACACACACACATATATATCAACAACATCTTAATGTATTTTTGCATTTGCATGAAGCCGCAAAAATGCATAAAAATGAGAAATTATTTTCTGATGTCTAAAAACTGATTTAAAAAATTTTAGCGGTCAATATCAAATAGTTGCTGCCTTTTAAAAATCAAAAATCTGGCTGCCGCACTGAAGGCTGTAGAGCACCTATTTTCGCCTCTCACTCAGATGGAATAGAAGAATGCTGGATTTATATCCAGTCAAATTAGTCGCTCCTGTTTTTCTCAGCACAATTTTGGGCGTTTTCACAGGATAAATATAATGTTTAAAACTACTTTTAATTAAAAATATGCATGAAAAATGAACAGGACAGTAGTAGGAAAGCTGACCTGGAATAAATGTTCATGGAGACAGGTGTACTGGATGTGATACGGCGCGAGCTTCTCCTCACCCTTGATTTCTACATTAATGTGCAACCGAATGGCGCCGCTCACTGCTGATTTGTCCGTTCGCTTCTCTGTAATAATTACCAGCTTACATCTCTCAGCTTTTTATTTCCGACGGCGTGTTTTTCAAATACTTTTTGTTTCAAAAGCTGCCTAGGGATAAAACCTCTATCAGCTGTCCTCAAACTCTAGAAGAGTTACGGTATTTCTAGGATGACTCTGGATGTGAAGGCTGGAAGTCGAATAACATAGTAGTTGCACTTGTTTTTTTTAGAAAAAATATGGAGTCCAGAGAATTGACCATTTTCTATGATATCCTAAAATGTCATTTTTGTCTTTTAAATTTTACCATTTCTTACACGCGTTTATATTTATGCAAATGTAAAAATGCACGTGAATGAGACCTCCGTGTGAGTATGTGCATGTTTGTGTACGTACTCGCCAGCTGCTGCTGGACCCGTATTAGGATCTTCAAGGACTGTAAGACGTATTTTAGGTCCAAGATGAGGATTCGGAGAGAGGAGAAGATTGTAGAGAAAAACGGGAAATAGGTTGAGAAAATATCATGTTTGAGCAGCTATCAATATGCGTTTTCATACAACAGAAAAACTTTTACCGCCAAATACCTTAAGAAATTTCTGAAACTAAAATTAACGTTCTTAGGACCTGGAAAAATTATTATGGCTGGAAAAATCGAATTATTATAGTTGAAAAATCGACACTCATCTACTACACCGAGCATCAGAATAATGTTTATCCCGTCTTTTTCTTAGATGCTGAAAAAACGGGTGCTTGACGGATTAGGCTTACAGCGCGTATGAAACTTTTCTGCTCGAAACAAACAGGAAAATAAATGAGCCTAGTAACCACTGCTTAGGCGACGGGCTTTTCAAAAGAAAAGCCGATAAAACGTACCCAGGCTGGAAAGCATCAGGCTTGCCGGCGCGATCATGAGTTTTTGCGCTAGACTCGCAGGTCGCTAACAACATGAATAATCGTTGCGCTGTAGCCTAACACTAGGGCTCATATTAGCCCCTTCCAGCACGCAAGAGAAAGGGGAAATGGATGGGTTGAAGGTGGTGCATTATGGAGACGCACGGACCTTCAGGTACATGATTACCAGTTATTTGCATGAAGTCTAGCCGTTTTTTTCGGTAAATGCTCGCTTTTTGAACAAATGAAAAATGCAAATTTGAAAAATGCAAATTTCCAGTTCACTAAACAGTGAAAATGTTGCTCGGGCGGTCGTTTTTCAAAAAATCCCAGTATGCAAATGAACTGAATGTTCATTTACATATTTGGATGAGGACGATCGTTCCTGCAAAATGCACTCTTTTTTGATTTTTTAGTAAAGCTGAATATTTTTCGTATCCACCTGCAGGGAATTTCACTCCCAAACAGAATTAAGACCGCACTTAGAAAATACCGCAGCGAATTTTCAGCCTCGCACCTCATCCGGTAAGCGAAATATCCACTTCGCTGCAAATATCTTCGAAGTGCCCTAAATCGTGGTGCAAGTGCAGTTCGGTACTCACTTAAGGTGTACGGCTTCTTATATGGGCGGCAAACATGCTGACAAAATTTCAGTCATTGTTTTTCAGCAAGTTTTCGAGTTAGCACAGTGCCAACTTGCAAAATTTGACGTGATCGTACGCGC